GACCACCACGTCCACTCAAAGCCGACAAATAGAAAATGGTATGTTAACATTTTGAAATTTTTGGGTTTTTTGGCAATATCTTGTTAAAAATGTCTTGTTCTTATAAATTTATGGATTCTTATCAAGCTTATGCTTCGGGAGAGAGTATGTGCATAATAATTTTGCTCATATATATCTATGTTTTGGTGACTAGGTTGATGCATAGAAGGTGTTTGATGGAATGACAAAAGGGATATAGTTATTTGGACCACAACGATTAGCGGTTATGTCATATTGTTGTTGGTTGATGAGGCAATAAAGGTGGTTGATGAAATGTCCAAGAGAAGTTTGGTTTTGTAGACCGCCATGATCTTAGCCCATCGGTATGCCATCCTACGCCCTCCGGTTGCTCCTCACCATTTTCTATTGTCGCCAACACCTAACGCAATGCACAGCTACCCCTCAATCAGAAACGATTCGTCAATGCATGTACACTAACTTTCCAATCAAATACATAAGAGAATCCTCCACTCTTGGCATTCGATCAGATCTTAGCATTATTGTCACATTACAACCCAAACGGTAAATCAACTACATCCTGTAATATGATGTACTAAGTAGTATCGAATGTATCGTGTTGTATGGAATTTTCTATATTTTGTATATATAGATGGTTTGTGTGTATATTGTATCAAATGCACTATCCAATGTATCATGATACATCAAATTTTCTATTAGAAATTTATCAGTATATCTAGTAGAAATGTATACAACGTTCCGATAGTGGTGATTTTGGATTATTTCCATTCAATCTTCATGGATTATTTTCATTTAATGTTATGTGCTTGAGTTTAGTGGTTGATAGATATGAATATCTGTAATGAATTGATGCACTGATTAAACTGAAGAAGTTTTGATGGCAGCCTATTGGGCCATATTATGTTTCGTGTGTCCAATTATCCACCTCGACGAGGGGTCATCGTTTAATTTTCCAGCTTTTGATAAAGTATAGCACTTTATAAGAAAGTATAGCAGCTTATTGATAAAGTATATCACTTTATGGTAAAGTATAGCACCTTATGGCAATAGTATATCACCTTATCAATAAAGTATAGCACCTTATGGTCTTTGAAAATTCAGCAACTTATTGCGTTGCAAACCAAATCAGTTTTGTTAGGGCCATGCAAACAGTCAATGACCTACGCTATGTGTCGCGTGACCAATTATCCACCTCGACGAGGGGTCCTCGCTCAATTTAGAAGCTTTTGACAAAGTATAGCACTTTATGGGAAAGTATAGCACCTTATGGCCAAAGTATAGCACTATATGGCAAAGTATAACACTTTATTAGCAAAGTATAGCACCTTATTGGCAAAGTATAGCACCTTATGTTTTTTGGAAATTCTGCACATTAAGTTGTCTAAAACCAAATCAGTTTTTTTCACCGCAACGCAAACACTTGATGACCTACGTTACGTGTTTATTGACCAACCATCCACCATGATGAGGGGTCCTCACGTAATTTTGAAGCTTTTGGCAAAGAATAGCACTTTATGAGAAAGTATAGCACCTTATGACCAGAGTATAGCACTATATGACAAAGTATAGCACTTTATTGACAAAGTATAGCACCTTATTGGTAAAGTATAGCACCTTATACTCTCTGGAAATTCTACACCTTAAGTTGTCAAAAACCAAATCAGTTTTTTTCACCGCAACGCAAACACTCGATGACCTACGTTACGTGTTTATTGACCAATCATCCACCGCGATGAGGGTTCCTCACGTAATTTTGAAGCTTTTGGCAAAGAATAGCACTTTATGAGAAAGTATAGCACCTTATGGCCAAAGTATAGCACCATATGGCAAAGTATAGCACATTATTGGAAAAGTATAGCACATTATTGGAAAAGTATAGCACCTTAAGATACAGAATTTCTAGAGAGCATAAGGTGCTATATTTTGTCAATAAGGTGTTATACTTTGCCAATAAAGTACTATACTTTACCATATAGTGCTATACTTTGGTCATAATGTGCTATACTTTCTCATAAAGTGCTATACTTTGCCAAAAGCTTCAAAATTGCGTGAGGACCCCTCATCGCGGTGGATGATTGGTCAATAAACACGTAACGTAGGTCATCGAGTGTTTGCGTTGCCGTGAAAAAAATTGATTTGGTTTTAGACAACTTAAGGTGCAGAATTTCTAGAGAGCATAAGGTGCTATACTTTGCCAATAAGATGCTATACTTTGTCAATAAAGTGCTATATTTTGTCATATAGTGATATATATACTTTGGCCATAAGGTGCTATACTTTCTCATAAAGTGCTATACTTTACTAGCTAAAAGCTTCAAAATTGCGTGAGGACCCCTCATCGCGTGGATGATTGGTCAATAAACACGTAACGTAGGTCATCGAGTGTTTGCGTTGCGGTGAAAAAAACTGATTTGGTTTTAGACAACTTAATGTGCAGAATTTCCAGAAAGCATAAGGTGCTATACTTTGCCAATAAGGTGTTATATTTTGCTAATAAAATGCTATACTTTGCCATATAGTGCTATACTTTGCCAATAAGGTGTTATATTTTGCTAATAAAATGCTATACTTTGCCATATAGTGCTATACTTTGGCCATAAGGATCTATACTTTCTCATAAAGTGCTATACTTTACCAAAAGATTCAAAATTGTGTGAGGACCCCTCATCGCAGTGGATGATTGGTTAATAAACACGTAACGTAGATCATCGAGTGTTTGCGTTACGGTGAAAAAAACTGAATTGGTTTTTGACAACTTAAGGTGCAGAATTTCCAGAGAGCATAAGGTGCTATACTTTGCCAATAAGGTGCTATACTTTGCCAATAAAATGCTATACTTTGCCATATAGTGCTATACTTTGGCTATAAGGTGCTATACTTTCTCATAAAGTGCTATGCTTTGCCAAAAGCTTCAAAATTACGTGAGGACCCCTCATCGCGGTGGATGATTGGTCAATAAACACGTAACGTAGGTCATCGAGTGTTTACGTTGCGGTGAAAAAAACTGATTTGGTTTTAGACAACTTAAGGTGCAGAATTTCCAGAGAGCATAAGGTGCTATACTTTGTCAATAAGGTACTATACTTTGTCAATAAATTGCTATACTTTGTCATATAGTGTTATACTTTGGCCATAAGGTGCTATACTTTCCCATAAAGTGCTATACTTTGTCAAAAGCTTTAAAATTGAGCGAGGACCCCTCGTCGAGGTGGATAATTGGTCACGCGACACATAGCGTAGGTCATTGAGTGTTTGCATGGCCCTAACAAAACTGATTTGGTTTATCGCAACGCAATAAGTTGCTGAATTTCCAAAGACTATAAGGTGTTATACTTTATCGATAAGGTGCTATACTATTGCCATAAGGTGCTATACTTTGCCATAAGGTGCTATACTTCATTAATAAGCTGCTATACTTTCTTATAAAGTGCTATACTTTATCAAAAGCTGGAAAATTAAACGAGGACCCCTCGTCGAGGTGGATAATTGGACACACGAAACATAATATGGCCCAATAGGCTGTTGTTACCACAACCTACCATCAAAACTTCTTCAGTTCAATCAGTGCATCAATTTATTACAGATATTCATATCTATCAACCACTAAACTCAAGCACATAACATTGAATGAAAATAATCCATGAAGATTGAATGGAAATAATCCAAAATCACCACTATCGAAACGTTGTATACATTTCTACTAGATATACTGATAAATTTCTAATAGAAAATTTGATGTAGCATGATACATTGGATAGTGCATTTGATACAATATACACACAAATCATCTATATATACAAAATATAGAAAATTCCATACAACACGATACATTCGATACTACTTGGTACATCATATTGCATGCTGTAGTTGATTTGCCATTTGGGTTGCAATGTGACAACAATGCTAAGATCTGATCGAATGCAAAGAGTGGAGGATTCTCTCATGTATTTGATTGGAAAGTTAGTGTACATGCATTGACGAATCGTTTCTGATTGAGGGGTAGCTGTGCATTGCGTTAGGTGTTGGCGACAATAGAAAATGGTGAGGAGCAACCGGAGGGCGTAGGATGGCATACCGATGGGCTAAGATCATGGCGGTCCGCAAAACCAAACTTTTCAGGGACATTTTATCAACAACCTTTATTGCCTCATCAACCAACAACAATATGACATAACCGCTAATCGTTGTGGTCCAAATAACTATATCCCTTTTGTCATTCCATCAAACACCTTCTATGCATCAACCTAGTCACCAAAACATAGATATATATGAGCAAAATTGTTATGCACATACTCTTTCCTGAAACATAAGCTTGATAAGAATCCATCAATTGCAAAATTGTTATGCACATACTCTTTCCTGAAACATAAGCTTGATAAGAATCCATCAATTTATAAGAACATGACATTTTTAACAAGATATTGCCAAAAAACCCAAAAATTTTAAAATGTTAACTTGCCGTTTTCTATTGGTCGGCTTTGAGTGGACGTGGTGGTCCTAGGGCCGCTGCCACCGCCCCCTTCAACGAAGGATCTAGCGAAGAAGAACCTGCAAGTTGACATTGGACGCCATTGCAAGAGATCAAAACCCTTGAATTTTTAGGGTTTTTTTGAGTGGGAGGAGAACCAGAAAAATATGGTGTATTAGGGAGGAGTAAGAAGAAGAACAGTGTAATTTCGAATTTACGGAGGAGGAAGAAGAAGAACAGTTATTAGGGATGGAGATAATTAGAAAGAGTGAGTTGAGCCATGAGTAGTTATTAGGGAGGAGGAAGAAGAAGAACAGTGTAATTTCGAATTTATCTTTTATTTTTTGTATACAGTATACAAATATGATGTATTTGATACTTTGGGTTTATAAATAAGTGGGTGTTGTATTTTGGGTGTATGGATCATAATGAAAGTAGGTGAGTTTAAAAATAAGTTGGGAGTAAAACTTTGGGTTAAAAGAAGATTTTCCCTTAAAATAAACACTAACCCACTTAAACTTTCCCCAAAGAACGTCCATACATAAATTCCTCCTCAAACCCTCGGATCTTTTTCCATAAAATACAAGATCCCCAATATCCTATCTATAACAAAACAACAACAATCCCCTTCACATTATGGAGCAAGCACTTGTATTATCGTCACTAAACATGGTCCCCGCCCTCTCTCCAACAATCCCAGAGCTCCCCACCGGCATCTGATAATACCCGTGCATAATCGACTCATCGTACCCGTGCTTTCGGTAATTATAGGACGACGTCGATGCAGTAGAGTAAGCAAAAGGGTTCGCAGTTACAGTGTTCGCCGCCAGGTGAGCAGGCTGAGCTGCGTAGTTGTAGTGCTGCTGGTTGAAGCCGGTCATGTGACTGCCAGGTGCCGGTTGAGGCCACAGCACTGCTCTTCGGCCGGTCTTTCTTACCGCTTTCAGCACCTTCTTTTGGTCGACGTAGCCGGTTACCGTTACCTTCTGCATGGCCATGTCGATGTCCACGCTGTCGATGCCGTCGAGCCTGCCTAGATATTTCCTGATTTTCATTTCGCAGCCTGAGCAGCACATGTGCACGCATAATTCTATGATCTGAAAAATATTGATTCAAATGAAATATTAGCTAGGTGAAGATATTGTAAAGTTTCAAGTATGAATGGAGAAATATAAGTGAAAAAAATTCTTACCGACATATTGCACTTGTTGATGATAATTTGCAGTGTTAATGATCGACTTCTGGTTTTTGAATGAGTTGATATAGTTTCGATGAGGAATTTGGTTAATTTGGGGTAATGAGCATGTGTATACATATATACACCCAAGATGAAGCAAAGAGACGTAGCATATTATAAAATTGATACGCGTTTTGTTATTAACTTTAGGAGTTATTGAATCCATTATTTGGTCTACTATAGCACCGACTTTTCATTTGTTTAGTGTATTATAGCACCTTCGTCTTAAGTTTCCGTTACAACTCGACATGGGGTTCAAGTCGATCACGTGTGGGAGACCGGCGCAGAAAGAGCGGAACGGACTTATAGGCTTGTGCCACGTTCGCATATTTAGCTATTTGGCGTTTTGTTGGTGGCGGCCGTAACGGATCTGGTCTCCGCTAATGCCGCTGCCATCATGGGCAGAGTAAGAGGAGGTATGGTTTTGCCTACGTGGCGAATGATTATTGGTTGGAACAGCATGGCCCCATATTCCTTGGGCTCACAGCCGCGAGCAACGCGGGAAGATGAGTGTATTTATGAAAAAAATTAAGAGGATCACGTGGGAGAGGCTCCCAAAGTCGATGGTGCGTTGCTGTTGCAAATCTGAAAGCGAAGAAATCAGGTGCCTGCGCGTTAGAAAAAGTTCATATAATTAGTCGCCCTTTATTATATAATGCTTTATTATCATCGGGGTTTTTGCTTATAAACCCAAATTAACCCCCTCTTGCTTTGAAACCCACATAGTTCTACGAGTTCTCATGCATCCAAAATACAAAGTTATAAATTATCTTTAAACCCAAAATATAGAATTCAAAATGTATACCTACATATAGCAGAGTATATAGCTACATATATACTTCATAATTTAGGGTACATAGCTGCATACTATAGGGTGTATAGCTAGGAAACTTTCGTCATTAGGAGCAAATCCATATTTGGTGATCAGAGTTCCTAAAGAGCTGGTGTGGCACCGATCAACAATCACAACTTGCAACTGTCCTATGAGTCCTGATTACAAAAGTGAAGAGCAGAGGGGCTTTCCTAATCTCTAAATCTCATATATATATTTAGTTCGATTTGTTGTCTAGATCCACGACCGAATAAAATAGCTTTACTATCAAATTGCGAGGATTACAACGATCAAGATCTCTCAACAAATTACACCCAAAACTCCAATACAATCTCTCTAATAATCTCTAATGTCTATAGAGCAAACCAAACAAAGAGTCAAAGATATCAGCCACGGAGCAACGCATAGGCCTGATATTCACCTCACGGGTTCTCTCTGGAAATAGAGTCTTCATCTCTGTTTGCTTACAATTGCTGCTGCTGCTATGTATGTCAGGCGCCGTGCGGAAGCATGCCCGCAAACTAAACGAGTCGACAAGCAATGAGAGAAGAACCAAACACGAGTGCAATTCCCAAATAAAGGCCAAAATCCAACACAAACACAGAGATTTATGTGGTTCGGTAGTGGCTTACGTCCACGGGGAGAGGATGTAGAGATTTTACTATATGGAGGAGAAATACAACAGGTTACAACTCACACAAACTCTCAAATATAATCCTAACCAAAGATCTCAACTCCCACACAATATCTCTCTCTCAAATTGCTCAAAAGACTCAACAATCTCTCCTCTATAAACCCTAGAAATCATGTTTGTATTTATATCAAACACCAAACCAAAACCAAACATGAAACCAAAACAGCCCAGGACACCTGACATCGATCGACTGATGTGAAACATCGGTTGATCGATAATATGCACAAAAAACTGCTCACGATTCCATCAGTCGACTGAATGAGCTCATCAGTCGACTGATCACCTATCAGTTGACTGCGCAGAAACTTTTTCATAATTCCAAGGCTTTTCTTCAGTCGACTAATCTTGGCATTAGTCGACTGATGATACTGTTCATCAAAAACCTGGTTTTTCAAACAATTCTCCACCTCGGCAACGTGTTTCCAAAACTAAACCGATACTAACATGAGCATCAATGCGTCGTCTCTCCAAATCCGGCTGCACCAATGTGATTGCCTACGTAGCCCCTTTCCCAAGGGATCAAGCCGCCCGTAGTTCATCCAAATGACCGCAAACAGCCTAACATGTGCGAATTTGCAATAAGTTTCTACAATGATCAAACTTGTTGCCCAGGATCACCTTTGTGAGTGTAGGGTGAATATTTGATTTCCTGAAAATAGGGAGTGTTTGTTTGTATTAATAAGAAGGCTTATTACAAACTAACAAATCAAATGTTTACAACAGAAGCAGAGGGAAAGCCCTCTTTGTTTTGTGTGGGGACTTTAGGTGGCTATAGGACCCTTCGCTCGATGCTCGTGTCGAGTCTGCTTCCCTTGGACCGTTCGATCAAGGTTGCTGGAGAGCTTCAGTACGCAGTAGAAGCTCGGGGCAATAGAGTTCGATTCTGCTTAGTTCTCCGGCGATCGGAGCTCGGAGCTAAACAGTGATGCTGCAATGCAAAGGTTATGCAGAGAGCTTGGTCTCAACTCTTTTCTCTAAGTTTTGCAACCTCTCCTCCAGTGTGCTGGAAGGGGCTTTTAAATGGAAGAAGGACAGCTTGACTCCTCCTTGAATTGTGGGATGTGACCACATCTTCTTCAGAGATGCTCTATGTCCTGTCACCTACGATGGGAAGGCCCATTCTTGTGTATGAGGCAACGAACGACTGCTATCCGAGTGGATTTGACCAGCATTAATGAACCGCATTTATGAGTTCGCAGATCGATGAAGTGTCTGTCCGATCATTCGTACTGTGCGTGACCGCCCGGCGTGCTTTGAGCACGGTGCTTTCTCCTTTCCGGTCAGGAGAGGCGGTGAAGTAGGTGCACAGTACTCGAGTGGGTCTAGCCAGCTTGCCGAGTGCCGGCGGATCTACCTCCAGACTCAGACTTGCCGAGTGCCGGCGGATCCAGCTCTTGACTCAGACAGCCGAGGTGAGTCGCATTTATGAATGCTCAGGTTGACTCGACACCTGTCCAGGCTTTCGTGCTGTGCGTACTGCGAGCGACCGTTTGACGGTCCTGGGGTACTGTGCTCTCTCCCTTCGGGTTGAGAGGGATGGGAAAGTCCAACTCAGCACGTGGGGTAGCGGATACCCAGCTGTACTGACGGTCTTGGGGTTTGCTGGCGGATTCGACTCTGGACTCGGGCAGGCGAGTTGAGTGAAAGGCGAACTTCCGCCATCCTAATCGATCTTAACTCGTGCTGGCGAGCCGACCGTAAGGCGAACCTAGAATCAAGCATATCCGATGTCTATGCGATTTAGGCCCATGCCAGAGAACCGAGCGTGCGAGCTCTTCTCGCAGGCTTTTTTACCATCTACAAGACCCCCTTCAAAGTTTTCAGACCTAAACTGGCTTGCGTGGGGTCTGGAATACTTTGAATGAAGAAAACTTCGGCGGAGCAAGTGCCTTTGGGTTTCTTTTAGGATTTTTAGCAAACCCTCAGCTATCAACGAGTTTGATTTACCTTTACCCATTACCGTTTGAATCGAGCTAGCCATACTATTCCCTTCAGTATGATGAGTTATCGAGTAGTTTCTTTTAGGCTCAATGCTAAGATTTCTGCTCTAACCCTTAGCCGTCTGAGGCGTGGGTTTTAACCGTTTAAGCGAGGTCATTCTATTGGCTTCGTTTATAATTTTACCTTTAGTGGCGAGCGAGTCGTCCAGGCGAAATTAGTCTTTGGGAGCCAAGTTTCGCGCGACTCGTGGGGTCGGGTTAAGTACTCGTAGGTGAGATCTCTTCCTTTTTTGAGGCAGGCCCAGATCTGACGGGAGATGAGCCACGTGTCTGCTGATAGGGCTTTGTGCTTTCCAGCTAAGGCGGCGCGGTCTCATCGGGTCGTGGCGATCGTGACTCGACAACACGATTTTCGCGTGTTTCGCCCCGCGACGCATCGTGGCCGTGGTTTTCGAACTCAACCGTCGGATGCAACCGCCAACCTCGGTTCCTTCGATATACCGAGGGTGATCTGAGCCGTCGAATTTGATCGTGGCCACGTCTCCTGTCCGTTAGGGTTTTCGCCTTTCGAGGGCCATCGTGGTCACGTGGATAACTCCGCCCTTCTAAATCAGCCATTTTCCTCCATTGGGAGTTACCGTGCCCTCAAATCTTGAAAGGAACCTCCAAGGAAAGAATTCCCGCTTCATCCTACAATGGCTCCGAAGTCTAAGAGGTGCAAGGTGAGGGGTGCAGGCCCCGGACGTTACTCCGACCGTCTCTCCGCCGGCATGCCTGCCGGTGCTCTGGAGTCGCGCCCAGGTATGTTGATGGGTTCGTTTGGACGAACTTTTGTAAGTCTTAGGCGTCGAACTTTGCTCATTATGCTTGGTAGCTTCCCCGATTTGGGGCGAAGTTTGCCCTATTTGCCTTTAGAGGATGATTACTGTCCCTGCAGGCGAATCCTTCAGTGGGAAGGAAGCGAACTCCCTTTTCGCAAGGCGAGTTCGGCCCTTTCTCATTAGAGGGGAGTATAGTCTGTACGGATAGACCTCGTTCGAAATGGGTTCCCCCCTTCGACAGGCGATTTCGCCCTCCTCTGTTTGATGGGCGATTTTGCCCCTACAGCGGGTTTTGTCTCGATTGACTTTTCATTTCTTGTTGCAGCGACCTTTTCTGATGAGGCTTTCCCGGAGGGTGTGGCAATTGGTCACGCCGGGGCTACGAGTTATACGGCGCCTTCTCGATTTTCTTCTTTGGCTCAAGTGCCCGTATTCACCGCTGATAAGCCGCATGGTCTGGTACAGAGAGTCACGGATGGTCATCACTTGACATTACGCGAGTTGACGACCAACGCGGCGCTGACAGATGAGGACAGGGCAGAGCTGCCGAAGCCTCAATTTTTGTTCGGCGACGCTATGGCCGACCCTTCCGCCCTGTTGCTCAAAGAGAGCCGGTAGTTCCGCACGGTAGAGGGGGTTCATTATTACCTCCCCAGCATGTCGAGAGGGTTTTCGATCGTCGAGCTGCGGTCCTTCGCCATTCCTCGGACGATGAACTAGGATTTGACCCCCTCTCAGGACGGGGTCACTTGTG